AGCAGCAGCAGCTGGATTTGGGGTTCGGAAGCTTGAGCTATGTTGCTTTGCTGCAGCAGAGTCTTAAGTGCAGCAGCTCACCTCGCCGCAGCAGCATCGAGATGCAGCAGCAAAACTTGTTGAAAGTAGCAGCAGCAGAATGCCACCTGCGGGCTGTGCGGCCCTCTGGGTGGCAAGTGACACTGCAACACAGCAGCAGCAGCAGCAGCAGCAGCAGCACTTGCACTCGCAGCAGCAGCAGCGGAAGAAGCAGCAGCGCTTACACTTGCAGCAGCAGCAGCGGCAAGAAGCTGGGTGCCGTCAGTCAGCAACAGAAAAGCGTGAGCAGCAGCAGCAAACTGCAGCAGCAGCAGCAGAAAAAGCAGCAAAACGCTAGCAGCAGCAGCAGCAGCAGCAGGTAGGTGGCTGTGGCTGACTGGGCTGAGATGCAGAAGCGCGCAGCGAACAAAATTAGCACCAAGTGCAGCAGCAGCAGCAGCAGCAGCACTTCCTGGAAGCAAACAGACCCAAACCAATGTGCAGCAGCGGCAGCAAAACTTAGCGCAGCTGAGGCTGCAGCAGCAGCGCAGCAGCAGCAGCAGCGCAGCAGCAGCAGCAGCGCAGCAGCATGGCAAAGATACGCCACCACAACACAAAAGCTGTGCGTTCCGCACTACAAGCAGCAGCAGCTACAGCAGCAGCAGCAGCAACGGCAGCAGTGACAGCAGCAACAGCAACAGCAACAGCAGCAATAGCAGCAGCAGCAAACGCAGCCGGGGCACTTACTTTGCTGTCGCCTTGTATCTCCTGCGGCAGTAAAGGCTCTTTGAAGCCTAAGGCGAAGCTGCCAGCAGCAACAGCAGCAGCAGCAGCAGCCTTGAGGCGGCCTTGCTGCTGCCGCCGCGGCACAAGCTGCTGCTGCTGCTGCTGCTGCTGCTGCTGCTGCTGCTGCTGCCACTGGCTAGCAGCTGCTACGGCGTCTTGACACAGAGGGTGTGTTGCGGGTGTCTCTGCGTAGAGCTGTACGTACACCTCAGCACCCCACACAGCAGCAAAACATAAGATGCCAAAAAGCAAAAAAGAGCAGCAGCCTCTAGCTAGCTACATAGCTAGCTAGCCAGCTAGCTAGCCAGCTAGCTGACGCAGCCTTTTAGCAGGGAGACATGAGGGAGCCTGAGACTAGGTTGCTGGCTAGCTAGCTAGCTAGCCAGCTAGCTAGCTAGCTGAATAGAGAACTAGTTAACTAGCTGGCTAGCTAGCTTGCTAGCTAGCTAGCTGGCCAGCTACCTGACCGGAGAGCTAGCCTGGCTAGCTAGTTAGCCAAGCAGCTAGCTACTGAGCACAGTAAGCAGCTAGCTAGCTAGCTAGCTAGCTAGCTAGTTAGCTAGCTTGCCGCTGCAAACCCTAAATTAGGGTTTAGGGTTCCCACCGTGATGTTGGTCCAGGAGAGGAGAGGCCCCGCTTTGTCTCTGCGGGCCCCACAGTGGCAAAGCCAATTTGCTGTTCCCGCTTTTGCTGCTATCTCCTGCGCACAGTCATAGCAGTTTGCTGCTGCTGCTGCTGCTGCTGCTGTTGCTGCTGCGGCTGCTGCCCCACTCAGGAAAGTCCCTAGAGCTGCTTGCTGCTGCTGCAGCGGGGAAAGTGAAGCAGGGTATTAGTACTGCTATTGCTGCTGCTGCTGCTGCTGCTGCAAACCGCCAAATAAAATAGGGCCCTAGTGCTGCTGCTGCTGCTGCTGCTGCTGTGTTTCAGTGTCAAGAAAAATCACATGCCACAAAGTTTATACACACACAATCTGTAATGCTTTTAGTTGAAAGCAACAGCAGCAGCAGCAGCAGCAGCGGTAGCAGCAGCGGTAGCAGCAGCAGCGGCAGTTTGGCTCTGGGGAAGCAAACCTGGGGGACAAACTGAAGCACGCAGACTGCAGCAACAGAACTCGCTTCCTCCTCTTCCTTCTGCTCCTTCTGCTGCTGCTGCAGCAACTGCTGCTGCTGCTGCTGCTGCTGCTGCGGCTTGCGCCTAAATATCTGATACCTAAAGGAGGCCACCTCCCCGCTGGGCCTGGCCCGGCCCGGCAGGCGGGGCAGCGACAGCAAAGCCTGCAGCAGCAGCAGCAGCAGCAGCAGCAGCAGCAGTAGAGCCGCAGTGAGCAACAGGAAGCAGCAAACAGCGCAGAGGGATCGGCAGCAGCAGAAGCAGCAGCAACAGCAAAAGCAACAGCAGCAGTCTATAGAGGCAGCTAGCTATGCATCATGTTCCTGTAGTTCATTATATGGCTAGCCATGCTAGCTAGCCAGCTAGCTAGCCAGCTAGTTGGCTAGCTAGCCAGCCATCTAGCCAGCTCTAGCTAGCTAGCTAGCCAGTTAGCTAGCCAGCTGGCTAGCCAGCTAGCTAGCCATCTAGCCAGCTAGCCAGCTAGCTAGCTAGCTAGCTAGCTGGCTAGCTAGCTAGCTAGCTAGCTGTGTGGGTTTCATACCAGGGGGAGGGTGTGTGGGGCGCCGAAGGCCGGCGGCTCTCTGCGCTGCCGCAGCTGCCCCCCCTCCTGCAGCAGCAGCAGCAAACTTTCAGTTTGTCCTTCTGCTGCTGCCATTAATCCTTTTGCTGCTGCATCTACAACTGCGCGGGCGCGCGCTGCTGCTGCTGCTGCTGCTGCTGCAGACGCTGCCGTCTGTGGTGCTGCTGCGGTTGCGGCAGCTTCGACTGTTGCTGCTGCTGCTGCTGCTGCTGCTTCTGCTGCTGCAGCTGGCTTTCTTGCTAGGCCTCCCTGGAAGACAGCAAGGGCCTCTTGCGCTTGCTGCAGCGCAGCAGCAGCTCCCTCCCCACTAACCATTTCTCCAACTACCTGCTGCTGCTGCTGCTGCTGCTGCTGCTGCTGAAGACCAGTTTCCTTCCGCTCATGTTGCAATGCGCCGCCTTCCACCTCCTGCTGCGGCCATCGCTGCGGCTGCTCCTGCTGCTGCTGTTGCTGCTGCTGCTGCTGCTGCAGCTTCTGCTGCTGCAGCAGCCTGTTCCTGAGCAGCAGCTGCTTGCTGTAGCTCCTGCCCAGGCGCCTGTAGGCCCCCGCGAAGTCGAAGCGAATTCTGCTGCCAGCAAACTTTGGATTGCTGCTGCAGCGGGTGGGGGGAAGTGCTGCATCTGCTGCAGCAGCAAAAAAGCCCTGGGCCTTCGGAGGCACTAAAGACACTGGCAGCAAAGACCCAGAAATGGCCAGCAGCTGCAGCGGGGTCGACGGGCCCGTCAGCCCGCTGCGCACAAGCAGCAGCAGCAGCAGCAGCAGCAGCAGCAGCAGATGCAGCACAACAGCGTACACCTCTCTAGCAGCAGCAGCATAGCTACCCACAGCGCTCTAGCAGCAGTAGCAGCACTGCTGCCTACTCCGCTCCAGCACCGGCAGCAGCAGCAACAGCACAACTGCCTACAAGGCCGCAGAGGCAGCAGCAGCAGCAAAGCTGCTGCAGCAGCAGCAGCAAGTAAGGAGCGGCAGCAGCAGCTTAAGGTGGGGCCTAACAGCTGGCTCACTTGTTGCTTATCTCCAGTGTATGGACTTCCCACAACTGCAGCAGCAGCAGCAGCAGCAGCAGCAGCAGCAAAAATAGCAGCAGCAGCAGCAGCTCAAAGCACTCAATACAGACGGGTTCTCGTAAGCTGGTTTGCTGCATTTTAAGAAGCAGAAGCTAGCACCGACAGACAGGGGCAAACAGCAGCAGCAGCAGCTGCTGCTGCTGCAGTTGCTGCTGCAGCAGCTGCTGCATGTCGACGCAGAGCCGAAGCAGCCAAAGCGGGGAGACAGCAGCAGCAGAAGAGACACTGAAGAAATTAAAGGAGGCGAAAAGGAATAAATAAAAAGAGAGCAATAAATAAAAGAAAAGAAAGAAAAGGAAAAGAAGCAAAAAAATGGAAAAAGAGAAAATGAAAAAGAGAAAAGCCCACCTCTGTCTCATCTTCTTGCGCATGCAGCAGCGCCTCGCCCGCCTCTCCCGCCCGCAGCACCTGCTGCAGCTGCTGCAGCAGCAGCTGCTGCTGCCGCTGCAGCTGCTGCTGCTGCTGCTGCAGCTGCTGCTGCTGCTGCTGCAGCTGCTGCTGCTGCTGCAGCAGCTGCTGCAGCGCGCGGACCTGCTGCAGCAAAGCCCTGAGGGCCCGCGGGTCCAGCAGCTGCTGCTTCGCGCGGGCAGCTAGCTCTTCGCCGGCCCTGTCTGCAAAGCCCTGGGCTCTGGCTAGCTGGCTAGCTAGCTGGGCCCCCCCAGCAGCTAGCTCAGCTAGCGCAGCAGCTTGCCAGAAGCCCCCGGCCTCTTCGCCTATTTCCGGGCTCACCGCCAACACCCCTTTTGCTGCCAGCAGCCAGTCGTCCGCCTCCCCTGCGCAGCGCACGGCCCTGCTGCTGCTGCTGCTGCTGCTGCTGCGCTGCTGCTGCTGCTGCTGCTGCTGCTGCTGCTGCGCTGCTGCTGCTGCGCTGTTTGCTTTCTTTTTAGTGGGATTTTACAATTTGTTTATTGGATTTTTTATTATTTATTTATTTATTTTGTTACTTATTTTATTTTTTATTTGCTTTCTTTTATTTATTTTGTTTTATTTATATTTGCGCTGCTACACTCCTTTTTCCCTTTTGCGCCGTTCTGTTCTCTGCCACCCTTTTTATTATTTGTTATTTGTTTTATTATTTTAATTAATTTAATTTAATTCATTAACTTATTTTAATTAATTTAATTCATTTAATTAATTGATTAATTAATTACTTATTTAATAATTTATTTGACAATTTATTTATTTATTATTTAACTATTTAATTATTTATTTAATTATTATTAATTAATTAATTTATTTATTTATATATTTATCTACTTGCTTTTAATTGTTTTAATTTCATTTTATTTCCGCAGCTCCTTTTTGTGCGCCTCTTCGCCTGCGAGCCCTCTGTGGGAAATTAAATTAATTAAATTAAATTATATTAATTAAATTAAATTAAATAATTATAATTCAATTTAAATAAATAAATAAATAAATAAATAATTTGATTTCGCACCTGTTGTGGGATATCCCAAAATTGGATTTAAAGGGGCAGGAGCAAAATTAGGCAAAGACAGAGCCCTGTACAGACACCCAACACTTGCTGCTGCTGCTGCTGCTGCTGCTATGGCTACTGCTGATTCTGCTGCTGCTGCTGCTGCTGCTGAGGGGGAGGGGGTGGTGCTGTTGCTGCTGTGAAAGGAGCTTGAGAAGATGCAGCAGCGACGGCAAGGAAGAGGAAAGCAACACCGGCAGCAGCAGCAGCAGCAGCAGCAGCACCATCAGCAGCTGCACCATCAGCAGCAGCAGCACTATCAGCAGCAGCGCCATCAGTAGCAGCAGCACCATCAGAAGCGGCAGCAGTACCATCAGCAACAGCAGCAGCACCATCAGCCGCAGCACCATCGGCAGCAGCGCCATCAGCCGCAGCAGCACCATCAGCAGCAGCAGCAGCAGCAGCAGCAGCAGGGGCTGACAGTTTGAGTTCTTCATAAGCTGCTTTGGCCCAAGGTGGCAGCAACTTGTCTCTGCAGCAATTAAAAGGATAAGTCCAGGTGTCTCCGTAAGTGTGGAAGTTCAGAGCAGCAGTGAACAAGCC